GCCTGCCAAGGTTTCTTCCCTTGAATTCTCCTGATGCCTTTGCTGGTGTTCTGAAATAGGGTTGATTCCAAATTTGATCCAGGACTTTGTGAATTGGGATTCGGAACACTGTTGTTACTGCCTGTGTTGCCCTCACTTCTATCTCCTGTTTGCTGGATCCGTTGTTACCTCGGCCTCGCTTCGGCGAGTCGTTTCCCTTTTCTTGCTTTACCTCCTTGGTCCCCGATGTATCTTCTTCGGCTCTGGTGTACTTCTCGATCCTCGCCACGAGCTCTTCCATGCTTTTTGGCAATGTCTTTGCCAAAGATTTTCGTAGTGGACAGTTGTCTTTTAGGCCGTTCTTGAAAAATACGACCGCCACCTCTTGATTATATTCTGGTATTCGGTTGAACACCTCGTAGTACCGTTTTTCATAGGCCATAAGGCCTTCATCCTTACTGATCTTCAGAGCCATTAGTGCGTCCACCCTTAATGGCTACAGTTTGTTTGTCACGAACCTGGCCACAAACATCTCGGACAGGCCTTTGCAAGTCTTCACGCTTCCTTTTGGTAATTTGTGGAACCAATCTGATGCAATCTCCCCAAAGGATGAGGGGTACACTTTGCAGAGCAACGGCTCATTCCCACTATATAATGCCATCGAGTTCAAGTATAACCCAACATGGAAGTTGGGTCCAACTTACCATCGTATATTTGGAACCTTGGCATACTGAATCTCTTCAGAGCCTCAAGTTTGTCTGCCTCCACCGAGAATGGTGTTCTTGGCTTTTCAGGGGAAGTTACCTCAACATCGGCATTTTGCTGCTTCCTCTTGAGGTAATCTCTCAAGTGTTCTTTGCTCCGTCCAAGAGCTCGGCTATCTCCTGACTTCAGTCTTTTTGACATACTACTCTCAGCTTCATGGTGGGTCCTTTTCGATTTTTCTCCGTGAGTTGTGTCGAAGCAGAGTGCTTGCCCCTGAATATGCCGATGTTCTTTGGGGTCTGCCTCCTTGGCGTGTTGCGTCCTCCGTGATTGTTCTCTCCTCGACTCTCCTCGCCTGACCTCCTTGGAAGGCCGATGAGAGTGTTTTTCGCTTCTGGTGTGCTGAGGGGCTATTGGGATTGTCTTCTACCCTCCCTTCTGGGTATTGGCCGCTGGAATTGGCGTGTCCTGCAACGGGTATGGTGGCTGCATGAAATTGTTTTACAACATGAAATTGACGACCGATTGCAGGTCTGCCAATTTGTTTGCCATCTCCTTTACCTCTTCATCCTTCCACAGGCATTTATCCTTCCATACCTGGAGGTCATCCTCATTGCAGTACCCACTTCGATCTGGCTTTTTTGGTACGTCGTCATCTTGGTCGACGTCTTTCTTGCTGTGATTCAGGTCACGAGTTTCTGTGTTGCGATTGTCTCCTTCGACATCAAGGTCGATAGGTCTGCCACTCCCAGCGGGAGTGTCATTCCCAATCTTTTCCTTCTGTCTGTCACTGGCCATCTATTCTCCTTTCTTTCCCACAGACGGCGCCAAATTGTGTGAGTGATTTTCTGATCACACTGTGCAACTTAGTAATCAGCTGGAGAGAACTGGCAGAATAGATGACACCTTGCAGACCTGCAACAAGAAGAGAAGATTCTGGTTGTGGTTCGTCCACCCGGGGACACTCCGACAATCAAGTCAGTATATCTCTCAAAGATAATCAATAGGGCTAATCTTACTGTTCAGAATATAAATTACGTACATTAGACCCATGGGGGTGCCTCCCTTTTATAATTAACTCAATCCTTGTCCCACTAGAACCCTAGTGTCATGACCCGAACCCGCCCCTATGGGTTAAGGACATAACCGGCCAGTAATCTTGAGATTACCTACGGCCTCATATTCAGAACAGACATACCTTGTCAAAGTAAAGGGGCCAAACGAAAACAAAAATTTAAAAACTTTGTCCATAGAGCCGTGCTTATATGCACATCAAAAAGACCATATTCAGTTACGTTAATAACCCACATCAAAAGTACAGTTTCACAAAGTTCATTACAGACAGGATCATCCAACACGAGTCAACCTATGACGGGCTATTTACAGATATACACTAGGCCCTTGCCAACAAGACAAAACATAAGTACATAGCAAAAAGGCAAGGTAGGTCTCAAGAGTGAGACACAAGGCTGACTTCCTCAAAACTCGGATTTCTCCTAGCAGACTTCACTGGGGCTGGGTTTGGACTTCCCTTGGCTCACCTACAAACACATGAATGAGCGTGAGCGATAGCCCAGTGAATAATATCAAACACGACAGTTACATAGCAATATGTAGAACAACATGCTCCGAACGGCCTTGGGCCCAATTCATATTTCTATTTAACAAAGATATATGACTATACGAAATGCAAATCAAGTAACTGCAGTTCCAAACATTCATGGCAAAACGGCCTTCGGCCCATTCACTTATGTCGAAACGGCCTTCGGCCCATTCATTTCTGTCAAAATGGCCTTCGGCCCATTCCTTTATGTCAAAACGGCCTTTGGCCCGCTCGTTCATGTCAAAACGGCCTTCGGCCCACTCACATGTGTCAAAACGACCTTTGGTCCATTCATTCACATCAAAACGACCTTTGGTCCATTCATTTATATCAAGACGACCTTTGGTCCATTCGTTCACATCAAAACGACCTTCGGTCCATTCATTTATACCAAAACGACCTTCGGTCCATTCATTTATACCAAAACGACCTTCGGTCCATTCATTTATACCAAAACGACCTTCGGTCCATTCATTTATACCAAAACGACCTTCGGTCCATTCATTTATACCAAAACGACCTTCGGTCCATTCATTTATACCAAAACGACCTTCGGTCCATTCATTTATACCAAAACGACCTTCGGTCCATTCATTTATACCAAAACGACCTTCGGTCCATTCATTTATACCAAAACGACCTTCGGTCCATTCATTTATACCAAAACGACCTTCGGTCCATTCATTTATACCAAAACGACCTTCGGTCCATTCATTTATACCAAAACGACCTTCGGTCCATTCATTTATACCAAAACGACCTTCGGTCCATTCATTTATACCAAAACGACCTTCGGTCCATTCATTTATACCAAAACGACCTTCGGTCCATTCATTTATACCAAAACGACCTTCGGTCCATTCATTTATACCAAAACGACCTTCGGTCCATTCATTTATACCAAAACGACCTTCGGTCCATTCATTTATACCAAAACGACCTTCGGTCCATTCATTTATACCAAAACGACCTTCGGTCCATTCATTTATACCAAAACGACCTTCGGTCCATTCATTTATACCAAAACGACCTTCGGTCCATTCATTTATACCAAAACGACCTTCGGTCCATTCATTTATACCAAAACGACCTTCGGTCCATTCATTTATACCAAAACGACCTTCGGTCCATTCATTTATACCAAAACGACCTTCGGTCCATTCATTTATACCAAAACGACCTTCGGTCCATTCATTTATACCAAAACGACCTTCGGTCCATTCATTTATACCAAAACGACCTTCGGTCCATTCATTTATACCAAAACGACCTTCGGTCCATTCATTTATATCAAAACGACCGACTTCAGATTCCAAGCCCTCAAGATCAAACACAGATTTTTTCTCTCTTCTCTCTCTCTATGGACCGGCCCTCTCCTCTCCTTAGAGTGTATATCAGCCAAGTGAGAATTAGAGAGGGAGTTTAATTGAGTAGTGCTCATATACAACAAGCCCCACTAAGTCAATATAATAATATAAAATAAAGGGGGTACTTAATTTATCATTTTAATCAGTTTAAATTGACCAGAATCAATTTTCAATTAAATTTCACTGTAGGCTCTAAAAATTATGCCAATCGCAATGGCGTATTCAGTCTCAGGTTCTGTGGCCGATAAGGCCCTCAATTTAATTTCCAAAGTGGATTATTCAAACAGATATTCCTACGGTGAACAGATAAAACTTTCAAAATCACATATATTCACATAATGGCACATAAAATCATGGTAAACACATAATCACACTCAATTTAAGGACCAATTAGCATATTACAGAACAGGGGTATTACACCTAGCTTCAATGGACTCTTGTTCAGTGCTTATCTTAGACTCTCCAAGAGATAAAGATAAACTCCCTAAGAGCTTTATCCTTATCCATGCCATAGTCCTTCCTTATTCTAGGACTCTTGTCCCTTATCTGTTTATCTCGGATTCTGATATTTTCGGAGATAACCTCGGCCTTGCCGAAATAACCTCGGCGTCATAACATGGACACGTGGCACCTCGACTGGCACGCCGGTATCACCTTGGCCACGTGTTGGGACTCAGAAAATATATCCCCACACATCATACAAACTTAATCCTCAATCATTACAAATCAAATAATCAATGAAAGAAAGCATAAAAATAATAAAAATATATAATCGTAATAGACAATATATATAATCAATGATCAAATAAATATTTAATCAAATAAAAATAAGAAGTCATTTCTATTACAGAGTCTATATCTTTAAACCCAACTTCATATTACAAAGTTAAGACTTTCCATCATAGTTGAACAAATACAAAACAGGAAAACAAAAATAAATACATAAAAAGCTAAGAAATATGATAGTTTTTCAATTAATTTTTAAGTCCCTAAATTGTCTACTTAATTCCTAAACTATAGTTTATGATAGTTTTTCAACAGTTTTTGATAGTTTTTCAATAATATTTAAACTATAGAAATAATTGTTTTAAATGGTCTCCTTTTTTTTTTTTTCTCTTTTTCTTTTGGGACTACGGTGGCATTTCTTAACCTGATTTAACACTTAAAACTAAATGTATTAAGTACAAATTAATTAAGTCTATTTGACAATAAAAAATGATATCATTTAAAAACTTAAGTTGCTATTAAAATATAAGCTAGAAATTTAAAAAAATTTAAATAACAGAAAATTTACTTGATTCTGTTTCAATTTATAAATACTTATACATAAATATATATATACATCATTATAACCTCACAAACTCTGCCATCACCGCTACTACTACCTCTACCATCGGTATCACCACCACCACCACCGCCACCATCCAATCCCCTTTCACAACCACCACCTTCATTACTATTGCCATTGCCACCATAAGCATTGTCATCATTTTACTACCACCACTAAAGTCGCCACTACTATTACCACCAATTACTACAATCTTTCATCTCTACAACTAATTATCATCGTTGCCATAATCACCACTACCATCACCACAACTGCCACCACCCTCTTTTTATCACCACTACATTACCCTTCCGCCATTACTACAATCATTATCTTTCTATTTGTAGCACCATCGTCATTAGCGCTATAGACACCATTATTGCCTCCACCACCAACTTAGTATCACAATATAAAATTAAAAATAATAAATTTTTAAAAGTTTAGTATTATGTATTTAATTTTCAATTTTATCAAATATCACCTAAATCTAAGGATGTTTGCACCTCTAAAATTTTGTCTGGTCTTCTATCAATCTGTTTGTTTGTGTTCTTTTATAAATATAAAGTGAAGTTTAGAGATCGTGTTGTCCTTCTCAACTATTTAAAATACAAAATTCTATTGAGAGGAGGTTGACAGTCGCAACCAAGACCGTCGATCTTGTAGGCAAGACATTTACTACTTAAGTAACACACAATACATGTGTTTTTTAATCAAAATTAAAATTTATATTTTACAAATTTAATAACACACCCTATAAGACCTTTACCATTTGAGAGGCACACAATATGTGTGTTTTTAAATCAAAATCAAAATTTATATTTTTACAAATTTAAATTAATACTATTATAAAGTGAAAGTTTCTCAAAATGTCTACATCTCATATTTTTAATTTTTTCAAAATACCCTTATAATAGTTATTTAAAGCACAAAATTATATTTAGGGCAAATTTCACTTTATCTCTTGTGGTTTAGGTCATGTACAGTTTATCCCTCTAATATTTGGAAATGACTACATAACATCCTTATGGTTTATGGACTGAAGTGCACTGTTAAGTCGGTTAACAATTTAAAGAAAAAGACTAAAATACCCGTACATTTTTGTCATTTGTTTAGAAAGCAAAGTACACTTTAACCCTATGTGCTTTATTCTATGTGCAATTTATCCCCTTAAATTTTAAAAATGAGTATATGACTCTTTATGTCTGCCACGTGTTTCGCACTTACTGTTATGTTGAACAGAATATTTAACGGTACATTTCGATTGACAAATCACGTAGGGGTTCTATTGTCATTTCCAAACACCAAGGGGTAATGCACATAGCCCAAATCACAAGGGATAAAATGAAATTTGCCCTTATATTTAACATCACAACTCCACTAGTACTATTATAAAGTGAAAGCTTCTCGTGGTGTCTACATCTCATCTATTATAAAGTGAAGGCTTCTCATGATGTCTACATTTCATATTTTGGATTTTTTAAACATACTTCTATAACAATTATTTAAACACAAAATTGTATAATGAAGCGAATGGAACTTGAACCTAAGATCTTTGATCTAAAAAACGTCTTTACCATTTGAGCAGCACAAAACATATAAATACTCTTAAATTAAAATAAAAAAATATATTTTACAGATTTGTAGCGGCCTAGGTTGAGGCCAACCTTTTTATACTCTTTGATTTGGAGTCTTTTGCGATCCTTTTGTCTACAGAGTGATATTAACCTGAACATGAAGAAAAATAAACTTTATCATATCAAATATTATAAGTTAAAAGACTAAAAACATAAGATAAGAAGTCTCAAAGTGTAACATTTCGGCTCAAATCACTTATATTAAGGGTTTAATGGAGTTATCCTTAAAAAAAAAAAAATTCCTTATGATGGATGGTACATTTGATTTACTGATAATGGCTATACAAGTGATTAAGGAAAACAGAATACATTTGTAAGGTAGAAACAACCCGTTAGTTTCTCCTATGCATCTAGTTGTTAAGTATTGTTGATCAAATGTTTTAGTGATGATCCCCATAAGTTGGCATTCTTGTTGATTTCAATCAATTGACATGAGTTTCTATGTCTAATTTTTTAAAATAAATTTAGGCCTTGTTGGTAGGTTCTATCTTCTTCTTCTTCTTCTTTTGGTTTGAGTCGTCTCTTCTTTTTTCTTTTTTTTTTTTTTTTTTTTTTTTTTTTTTTTTTTTTTGATCAGCAAAAAAGGAATTTTATTGATGCAAAAGAGAAACAAAATACATTAATAAAGAAGATGGATGCACTAGCATCATAGCGAGCAAAATGATCCCAACTTGGTTGGCACCATAGAATAAGCCCAATCATCTGTAGCATCACATCAAGTTGGTGAGCAATCAACAGAAAAAAGATACAACCCCAGTTGACCTACTAATCAAAATAAAGCCCCCAGTGATTCTACCAGCTGCAGCCATAAAGCAGATGGATATTAGCAGCAGGACCAACTGTGACTCTTTCTGCATAAAGTGGGGAAGCTAAACATTCTAGTACGTAGATAGGATGCCTGGATCAACATGCTAATTTCTTTTAATCTTGAGATATCTAAGGTCTCAATTCTATATTTTACTAATGAAAATCCAATGGATTTTCTGCTGATGTTGAAACTTGATTGTAGAATCATTGAGTTGTAATCTCATTTGGGTTATTAAAAAATAATGAAATTGGCTCATATATTGAGATGAATTGAAGGAAAATAAAATGAAATATGGACTTGGTATTCTATGACTATATAAAAATGTGAATGTTTTATCCCTGGCATTGTATATGCACATTACACTTATATTTTCGTTAAATCCCATATATTGTGTTAGATTATTCCTACTGAACTGTGGCTCACCCTATTTGGGAAAAACTATTTTCAGGTACTGATGACATACCTCCACGAAGGCAATAGCATTTGAGGGGCTTTTGGAAGCAAGAGCTTCTTTGTTTTGTTTCACTTTTTGTATAGTCTAGGGCTTAAATTATATGAGCTAGTCTTACTTTTGTTATAACCAAGGCAAGACTTGGAAATGCGTAAGCTTGCAGGGCATTTATTTATACCAAACTCTTTTTTACTATTAATATTATGAAATGAAAGAACGTTACACTCTGATTCATGTAGTTATTTATTGCTATTTCGGTTGAATATATGGTTATATTTAGGGGGCGTTACACTATTATTATTAAGGGTATTTTGGTAACTTTGTTAGCCATATGACATATTGGAACATAGAAAAATAATTTACGAGTGGTTTGGGAAATTCTAAATAAGTGTACTTTTTGACTTTTTATAATTAAAAAAAAATGTGTAAAAAGGTAGAGAAAGTAGATAAAAAAGTAAAGAGATTATGTTGATTGATATAACCCAAATAAGTGTATGTACGCAAAAAAAAAAATACACTTTTTTCAAACACCTATTTAGACAAATGAAATATAAGTAAATGAAGAGAAATTCATAAATAAATGCTCTATTTTTTTTCGACTTGCACACACACAAAATGTGTACTTGGCTGCTAACTTTCTTAAAAAATTAAAAATAAAATCAATACAACTAAACTATAAATATCAAGTTGATATGCAACATTTAAATTTTAGAGATTCGGAGTACAATTTTCCCAAAATATAAAATGAATGTTGTGGGTATAATGTTATCGAACATAACAAGGAAATCGTAAAATGTCGCCGTTACAGCAACAGTAATGGAAACAAAAAGCATTTTCCGCTGCCAGGATTCGAACCTGAAATATTCTCATAAGCCGAGTTGGTAGTTGAGCTACAGCGTAGCTTGTGTTGTGGTCATGAAGATTATAATATTTATAGAATTAACGTTTTAAGTGGTGCCTCCCTTCTTTTTTTTTTCTTTTCTTTTTTTTTTTTTTTTTGTTAAAAGGGACTAAGGTCAAGTTTTATGACCTATTTAATTACTTAAAACTGAATATATTAAGTAAAAATTAATTAAGTCTACGTTACAGTTACAAATGGTATCACTTAAATATAACTCTTAAAGTATAAGCTAAAAATTAAGAAAACTTTAAGTGATCAAATATTTATTTAATTCTATAAGTGTCAACATACACCATATAACCTTACAAACTCAACCATCACCGCCACCGCTATTAACATTACCACCACCAGCATCCATCACCCTTCCACAATCACCACTTTCATCACTATTGTCATTACTACTATAACCATTATTATTATTTCACTACTACCACCACAGTCGATACTTATTATCACCACTACTACAACAATTTGTACAATCTTTCATCTCTACAACTATTGTCACCGTTGTCATTACACTGCCACCGCTCTCTTTTTATCACCACTACATTACCTCATGGTCGATTCTAACTTTTCTAGGATCCAAAGCGAATCCTAAATATGTGACATTTCATATTTATTTAAAAAAAAAAATTGATCAAAACATTATGTATATCAAATTTTGTTTTAAATTTTTACGTTTAATAATGCTCACAAAAAAGTTACTAAAATTTACTTAAATATATAACAAAGTTTACGATAATAAAAAAGACTAAAATATAAGCTACAGTGCCAAATAGAAAGTAAATTAAGTCTTCTACTTCTTTGTAAGATTAGTGACGAGTTATTGGAGTATCCGGGAATAGTTGACCGTTAAAAATGGCTTTCTCCAATAGATTTGGAAGTCTCATGAGGCAGACCATTTCACAGAATAACATATTGATTTAGTTCGTTATGATACTTTTTACACTCATTCTTCTCTTTTTTTTATTCATGTAATTGTCTTCTAATTCATCAATAAAATTTATTTTCTTCACTAAATAAAAAAAAAAAAAAAATAGCATATCGAATGGGCAAGTTTCAATGGCATCTATGCTTAATGCCATTCATTGCATGTCATCTTCAAAACTTTCATTGGCGGAATGACCTTGAGTATTATTATTTAATGTATTAAATATAGTACAAGTTATTTGTAGGTTCTACTATTGAAATCACATTGATCTATCTATGTACTAGGCCTTTCTTTTGGAACTGATGACCAGTCTCTCAGGGTGGCATTTTCTGGCTTTGGTGATGTTGTGGATGGTGAGTTTTAAATATGCTGTCGATGCATTTACGCAATGTCAGAATGAAAAGCATGCTAAGTTGTCCAAGTTCTCGTGCAGATAAGGATAACATGTATGGGCACAAGGGTTTTAATCAAAAAATGCCTTCTGCAAAGTTTTACATGTTTTTGTTATTTCAGTCACAAACATTGCTAAAAAGAATATCACAATCTTATTGATTTGTCGTTTTTCATTCAAAAATGAAGAATTAAAAAAAATATTAATTCAGTAGAATAGTGAATTGTCCAAATATCGTACCAGTTATATTAATTCGAGCAGTAATTTCTAATTTAATGTAAAGAAGAGAGGATGATTTAATTTTTGCTAATGAGAATTTAAATTAAAACTAATATAATTGTGCAAAAAAATAATCTGAATATGCAGAGAGACTTAAGATTTCGAATACACTACTAACCTCATATCATGTAATTAAAATATCCGATTCTAGTAAATTAATAGCCCGAATAATAATGATGTATCGTGGCTACAAATTCTAATATCATCATCAAGAAGATGAATATATTCAAAATGTAGGCACGAATCATCTTAGGTCGACAGAATCTCCTACACTAAACTATGGTTACTAACTATGATTTGATCCAAAAATCATATAAATAGTCTTTTGGGGGAGGGATCTATACACATTTTTATATAAACAGAAAAACTTTGTGAATAAGATGAACGTGAGTTTTGTCAACGTCAAAATGAGATTTTAAAGAAGTCAATGAGAACAAAAATAAGTACTTTGTGAAACACTTATATATATATATATATACTAGGTAGGAGGCCCATGCAAGGCACAAGCGAGTTGCACATTTTTTTTAAATTAAAATTTGATTTTTAAATTTTGAAGTAGTGTTTGTTTGATGGAAGAAAAATATAGTGGAATACACCTTATATATTTATACAATATCATTTTATTTCGCATATAATGTTTTCTACGAACTCTTATGTTATATTTGGTTAATTAGAATGAGATGAAATAAAATGATTATGTGCCTTTATTATGACTTTAGTTATGAGTTTGACCTCTCTAAAGCAATTTTGGATATTTTTTTAGTTAGTTGCTATTTAATTCTACAAAAATTAAAGATATAATAGCCAAAAGTTAAGAGTATAACAATGTTTTTAAGAGTATAACCATACAAAAAATCATTCTGACATCACTTAAAAAAAAAAAAAGGTAAATTATAAATACATCATTGAGATTTGCTTAAAATACGGATTGCCCTTTGTAGTTTGCAAATTTACAAATATTCCCTTGTTAGAATTTTTTATTTAATAGAATTAATGGAAAAAAAAATTTCCTAACTGCTTTTATATACAATAATAAAATTACCTAAATTATTAATTGAAATAAATTTCTGTCATCACCAAAAGTTGTTAATTGAGTTGATGATATATTAATAAAAATGCTTATTTGTTATGAAATTCAAAATTTAAAGGGGAGTGATGTAATTTTCAAAACCACAAGGCACAATTTATATTTGAAACAATCCTCAGGAGGTGTGTTTGTAATTTATTCAAAAAAATAAAAAATAAAAAAAATCTATACTTTTGGACTGTTAGGCTAAATACAATTAACCCAAATTTCTTACAAAATTTCTAAAAATTCTCCATCCAAGTTAATTCACTAACCAAATTAAAGGCCAAAATAGATTCAAAAATAACGTAAGGGCAAAATGGAAAATAAAATACAAACCACCAACACCAAAGCTATACTTATATAGATAGATATATAAAAATTAATAAAAATATTGAATAGTTAGACTTGGTTTTATTTGTCCTTTTGAATCTTAATCCATAAATTGAACTTATAATCAATTGTTTTAAAAATTTTAGAATTGAAACCAAAATCATGCCTTCAAAACATCAGACTAAATTATACAATTTAGACTTATTCAATAGATAATTTTATTTATTTATTTAATACCACAACTTCGTTGCAATCTGGATTGCACAACCTTTGTTATACATCTTACACTTGAGTTGGTATTGACAAAAAAATGTCTCACAATTTTAATTTACAAAATACCCCCACAAGAATTACATAATTCTACAAGTATCTTCTATCTATCTATACTATTATAAAGTGAACATTAGACTTAATGTAAACACTACAACAAATAAGAGTTTTAGAGACTATAAATGTTTTGATCTCTAAAAGTGAAAATTTTGTTATAAAAAACATTTAGAAACCAATTTCTATCGTCATGAGGATAGTCGCTAAAAGGTCGTCCCGAAAAGTTCAAAACAAGGCTTTTAGCGACAAAATTTTGAAAATGTCACTAATAAATAAACTTTTAGGGACAAAATAATTTGGTCTCAAAATGGTTTATTTTTTTAGACAAAAAATTTGATCCCAAAAGGATAATAATTCATCACTAATGTCTAATTTTTGTTGTTAAAAATACAATAACGGCACTTTTCGCAACAAAAATATTTGGTCCCTAAAAAATAATTTTGTTTCTAAATTGTGGTTTCTAAAATCTTAATTTTTTGTAGTGAAATGATATAGAAAAAGTACTTTGTTAATAAGATGAATGAAGGCTTTATTGATATTGAAATGAGATTAGGATTTAAAGAAGTCAATGAAAAACAAAAGTAATATATATATATATATATATATTAAAATTAATACAAATGTTGAATAGTTCGATGTGGTTTATTTCTCCTCTTGAATCTTAATCCATATATTGAACCATGCTCAATTGTTTTAAAAATTTTAGAATTGAAACCAAAACCATGTCTTCAAAACATCATACTAAATTGTATAGTTTAGAATTATTCAATAGACAGTTTTAATGTTTTTTAACATCCTAATTTCGTTCTAATCTGAGTTACACAATCTTTATTATATATCTATTTATTTTTCAATTATATTATTATATGTGAACATCTGAGTTGGCGTTGACAAAAAGTGTCTCACAATTTTGATTTCCAAAATATCCCTCACAATAATTACATAATTTTTACACGTATCTTCTATCTATTTATCTGTCTATACTATCATAAAGTGAACACTAGACTTGGTGTGAATCTCACAAAAATTTAATTTCCAAAAATATTCTCAAAAATAGTTTTGGAACTACTAACTTGCAACCTCAAGCTCGCGTTGTGTCTCATATTTTTATTTCGAAATAAGTCGGAATAATTATATAATTTTCACATGTAACTTTTTTTCCGTAATTTTTTTTGGAGTATTTATTAGAAAATCATCTTATAAGTACTTGTATTACAATTGATCCATAACATATTCTTATATTCCAACAAATCTTATCATTTGGACATTTGATCCACCAAATCTTAGTTCCCTAGGAGATATTTGAAATGATCTAAATAAATATACTTTTTGACTTTTTACGAAAAGATATGTAAAAAACGTAAAGAGAGTTGATATAACCCTAATAAGTATACTTATCTAAATAAGTGCACTTATATAGTGCATAGTGCATAATTTTACCTTTAAAATTTATTTAACCCGTAACAACTTGGTGTGAACTATTTTGTACTTTTTATATATTAAACTTTAAAAATTCATAATTTTTGTTGCACATTTTTTTACTTTTATTTTTTTATGAAATTTATATTTTTGAATTCTAATTAATGAGATCTATCAAATAAGATTTCACTGGAATATGTAATTTTTTAAAATATAAATAAATAAATACATAAATAAATTTGATAGTGTGAGTGTTCACATGAAATATTTACATTGTCAATGTGAACATTAATGAGCGCTTCACTTTATTATTATTAAGGGTATTTTGGTAACTTTATTAGCCATATGACATATTGTATTATAGAAAAAATAATTTAGGGGTTGTTTGAGATGATCTAAATAAGTGTTTTTTTTTTTGACTTTTTATGAAATATGGGTTGGGTTTGAAGTGATGTGTTAGAGAGATAATGTGACTTAAATAAGATGATGTAACTTAAATAGGATAATGACTTTTTCAATTTTTTAAGAGTTGCCAAACTTAACCTAAGTGTAATATAAGTAAATGAAGAGAAATTTATAAATAAATGCTTCATTTTTTATTTTTTTTTTTTCGACTTGCACACACAAAATATGTACTTGGCGGCTAACTTTCTTAGAAAATTAAAAACGAAAACAAAAATATACTTATTTTCCGCTGCCAGGATTCGAACCTGGTGTATTCTCATAAGCCGAGTTGATAATTGAGCTACAGCGGAGCTTGTGATATAGTTGTGAAGATAATAATATTTATAGGGCTAATCGTTTTTCATTCTTTATTTTTTATTTTTTTAATTTTTTTTTTTGGGGACTAAGGTAGAGTTTCATAACCTAATTTAACACTTAAAACTAAATATATTAGTAAGTAAAAGTTAATTAAGTTTATTTAATAATTACAAATGATATCACTTTAATGTAACTCTTAAAACATAAGTAAAAAATTAAGAAAATTTTAAGTGATAAAAAATTTATTTAATTCTGACTTAATTTATAAATACTTATACATAACTATCAACATACACTATATAACCTCACAAGCTCTACCATCACCACCACCTATACCACTACTATCACCACCACTTCTACCACTGCTATCACCACCACCATCATCCATCACCCTTCTACAATCACTACTTTCATCACCACCAACACCATCCATCACCCTTCTACAATCACTACTTTCATCACCATTGGCATTACTAGCATAACCATCGTCATTATTTCACTACTAGCACCATAGTCGCCATCTATTATCACCACCACTACAACAATTTGTACAATCCTTCACCTCTACAACTAATGTTACCATTGCCATAACTACCACCACCATCATTTTACCGTCACCGTTCTCTTTTAAACACCATTACATTACTCTGGGGTTGATTCTAACTTTTCTAAGACCCAAAGCAAACTTTAAATATGAGGTCTTTCATATTTATTTAAAAAAAGATTGATCAAAACATTATGTAGTGAATTGTTTTTAAAATTTTTACATTTAATAATGCTCATAAAAAGGTTACTAAAATTTACTTAAATATATAACAAAGTTTACAATAATAAAAAAGATTAAAATATAAGCTACTTACCAAATAGAAACTAAATTAAGTCTTCTACTTCTTTCTAGGGATAGTGACATGTAGTATAGTTTATCAAAAGTGATTAACATCATACTAACTTAATCCTCAATCATTACAAATCAAATAATCAATGAAAGATTATCTAAAAAATAATAATAATCAATGAAAGAAAACATAAAAAATAATTAAAATATGTAATCACAGTAGACAATGTATATAATCAATGATCAAATAAAAATAAGAACTCATCTCTATTACAAAGTCTGTATCTTTAAACCTGTAGACGCGTCCCGCGAGGGGCCCTTCGCTACTACAGTTCGGACTCGATTTTGTTGTCACGGTTCTTAGTCTTGAACCAAAGAGTCCAAATCTGGCAAATCGTTTTGAGAAACAAATTTTTTGAAAAGAAGTGCCAAACATGGACTGCTTTGCCAGATACAGAGTCGCCACCTAAATATTTTAAAATGGGGGAATTTAGAAAACCCTGACTCGGTGCCGAAGGCCACATGTCCGTCATCACCGGAGTTGTCTCGGCTCGGGAGCTTATTTAATCCTAAAACCTTTTTGATAGACCCAAAAGTCATGTGCCCATTTATCTTCTTTTTTTTCCTTGCACCTTGTTTCTTCTCTTTATCTTTCTTTCTCTAATATCGGCGACAACCACGACCATGACCACGACCACGACCACCACCACACCTTCCTTCTTTTCTTTCTTTTTCTAATCTACAGTTATCGGTGACTGGCAACCACCATTGATTGGAGTTCACTAGTAATCACTGAGCACCGACTCCTTACTTCGTACTCACCAAAGGCGAAGGAGATGAGTTTCCGATGAAGAAGATTTGATGTAGATCAACTTACATCTACATCAGAGATCTACATCAAATCTGAGTAGATCTACAGAGTTTTCCAACTCAAACAATCCAACCTTCACCCACAGGCATTCAAACAGTTATATCACATAAGCATTTAGCCGCATAGCAAGCATACTGTCATGGCAACATTCACACGCATGCGATATGCTAAAGCAGGAAAATACTTACATAGTACTCGGTGCCAAAAATAATAAACTAGTTAGCAAACATGCGTGATCCTAGTTCATGTTAGGGTGGCTAACGCAACGCATGCAAAATGCATTTAGAATGGGCTCGGCTAACCTAGGCATGGCATGTGAAATGCAGTCAGTTGATGCACGTATTCAATTTGGAAATTGAAATACAGATGCAGTTAGAATGATGCACCGAGCCCGGTGCATGCAATACAAATGCATGAATGCACCCATGCATTACATGAGGTATGCTAATTTAAACGTGCCCTAATACTAACCATCAAAGCGGGTAAGTAAAAGGGAAGAAAGAAGTGGGGATTGGAAGACATGCACACCACTCACACACACTTATTACAAGTTTGCCCTCGCTCGGAGGGACCAAATAAATATTACAAATTAATTAACTACGCAAACTAATTAAATATTACAGACAATTAACTAGTTAAGCAAATTAACTAAGCTAATTAAACAACAAACCGCCTCGGGAGGAGAGCTTAATGCAATGCATGCTCGGTCCTGCTCGGAAACGTACCGCCATGCATAGGCTGCCTCTGTTTTCCTTCCTTCACTCCTCTGGAGGTTGTCAAAACCTCAGGACTGCTTCCTTGGACATTGGGGAACACCAACGGCTGAATGGGATTGCCACCGGCATTAGCATGTGGCCACCGGCACAAAATAAATCCATCGGCAGGGAAATTATTTCCGGTCGGCACTGGAAATTGCCGGTCGGCAAAGTGTTCATGCAGAATCTGCAATTGACAGCAATAGAGGGCAAGGCAAAGCATGGCAGCACAATTCAAAGCATATATGCACCAATCATGTCCCTTATCATGGTAATGACTCAAAAGGGCATGTATCTCGATTCTCGGACCACCAATCACGCATTTCCATGCATGATGGTCCAAGGAGTCAAGTATGCAACTTTCATGTCAAATGAAATGCAAACCAAACAAACAAATCAAGGCCCAATTCTTGTCATCAAGTCAAGGAACAAGGCATGCATGCAAGATGCAATGCAACCTAGGCATGCAAGCTAAGGATGCAACATGGCATGTCAAGGCACTTATGCAAGCATACAAGCATACATGAGGCAATGCAAATGGATAAAAGGATGGACTTATACATGATTTAGGCAACTCAAAATAGGCCTAAAACAGTGGCCAAAGTGCCATAACAAGGGACCAAATACATATGCACACATACACATGTTTAAAGACCAACACTTAGGCTCAAATGGGACAATTCTCAAACACATTCAAGAGGGTGTAAACATGGACATATAGCATGCAACATAAGCATTGAAAATCATGTTAAAACATGGTGCCAAACTAAGCAACAAATCAAGCTAAACATGCAATAAATGACCCAAGTATTTGAAGCAAGTCAAAAGGGCTTGAACCATGACCAAGCCAACCAAGCCTCACAAGGCTAAGGAGACTTAAAATAGGTTCAAGGCAGACCTAGACCATGTAAAGGGGGGCTTCCTAGATGGCATCTAGGTGGCTCGAACTCAAAGGCATGCACAAGTGCCAAAACATGAAGCATGCAAGGCAAGCTTTCAAAGCATTAAAGAGACAACTAAAGCAAGAATACAAGCATACTATAAGGTCTGAAATGACATGGTGGATGATTCCAAATCACCAAATCAATGCAAAAATGTCATGCTATACACTCATACACTTAAGGCCAACAAGCCGGAATGCAAAGGAGCTATACTAAGCATGGAAAATTCGACCCAAACAACTATGGACAGACCTAAAACTTGGCAAAATATGCACAAAAGCTTCACAAGACTAAGCCTAAAACATGCTTGAACAAAGGCTAACAACCTAAGGCATATTAAGGCAATATCATAGCATTACATGGTAGGTATGCTAAGCATGCATGGTGTACCAAAACCAAGTAAAAACAGAGGCATAATATGACATATTAAGCACAAAAAACAGTCAAGGCATGGTCAACATGAAGCTTAGCTAGGTGCTCCCTCAAGAGGCCAAAAAGGGTCCGTTTCAAGGACAACAAGGAGAGGGGGTGGCCCTCCCCTTTTGGAGACTTCAAGGCACCATCTCCACCACTGAAATCCCTCAGAATTTCAGTGGTGAAGAGGCCCAAACACCAAAGTCTCGAAACTTGCTCAAAATGGCTCAAAATGGGGCCTTTCAAGGCCTAAGAGGGGTCAAACACCCTCAAACCACAAAACACTCTGAATAAACAACCAAGAGGGCAAAAAAACAGAACTTTTTTGTATTATACACTAAGCACAAAAAAAGTTCTAAGATAGGCAAAAACAATATGCAAAAATGGGATAAAAAGGGGTAAGATTCTTACCCCTGAAGACCTCTTCAACAATGATGCTCCAACAGCCCTCTTTGGCTTGAATCCAGCCCCAAAACACCAAAATCAACCCCTTAGAACCTCAGGAGCCAAAGGAAGGTGAAACACTAGGTGTTTGTGTGCAATAATATGGACTAAAACACAATTTAACACACACAAGAGGGAGATATAGAGATAGAAAGTGTATGGTTTCTAACCCTAGAACTCAAAACCCTAAAAATGGCTGTCTAAACTCTCTCAAGTGTCTCAAGTGTCTAACCCTTGCAACAAGAGAGAAGACTCTCTCTTATAGAGCCTTTTTGTCTTGTAAAGCTTACAAGACAAGCTTCTAAAGAGGGAGATCCCTCCATACACGTGTATGGAGGGGAGCCAAAAG